AACGGGAAACCCCATACAGACTCCGGCATCCACAGTAAAACAGAACCATCGGACCCCAGCATGGAAAAGAGTATACAGGCAATATAGATTCCCCGAATTAACGGAGACCACGGAGGAGTTTGCGACCCTAGTGCAAAGTTCTAAGTGGAAATCTAAGCAAGAAAATCTTGTACAACAAAAAATAATCAAGATACTTCTCACAAATAGTGGGAGAGACTTCTGGGACAAAATGCAAAGACGGAAGAGGATGAACAGATCGCTATACACCACACAAATCTGTGCAGCTTAACCGAGCTTAAAATAATCATAGAAGCCATCTTCCAAGAATCCAAAACCAAAGTCTCAATCTTCACGGATCGCAATCAAGGGCAAATATCTGCACTCACGAAATCCGATGCACTAATTTTGGGAAAAGAGGGGATGGCATATAGTGAGATTGTCAGAGACATCAAGAAAAACGTCGAAGACTCTCTCGCCTCTGAAGAAATTAACTCAACCAGAACGGCCTAATAAAGATGGACAAAGACTCAAGCGCGGCAAAGCTACTCAAGAAGGCGATAGGAGAGACCACAGAAGAAGTCCATGTAAGAATGAGCGGAGGCGCGAAACTCTAGACGATACACATAAGAGGTATGGATGCGGCGACCACCAGAGATGAGGTAATTTCAGTTATTGAAGAAACAGTGGGTAGCATAGCAGGTAGTGACATCAAACTGGGAACTCTGAGGCCAAATGCGAGCAATCGCTATCTAGATGGAAAAATCAAAAGACGGACGAACTTTTAAAGAACAGGCGTATTCGCATCGGCCTGTCAAGATGCCACATCGAGGAAAGAATATCTCTTAAAAGATGCTCTAGATGTTGGGCTTATGACCAATGTAAAGGCCCAGACAGGAAAGACCTCTGCTACAGGTGCGGCGAAGGCGGCCATTCAGCCAGAACGTGTACAAAGGAAGAAATGTGCCCTATCTGTGACGAAAATTCCCACAAAGTAGGCACAGGAAGATGCAACCCCTTCCGCCAAGCCCTGACAATAGCCAGAAGAGTCAAAATTGCAGCCAACCGCAGATCTTCCTCATATACTTACGAAGATGGCGAGGGACCGGCACCTGACGATGTTATTATGTTACGATAAATTTATCATTTACGTAACATGTGCCATCTCTTCTTATTTTCATTATGAAGTTAATTATTAAAATAATTCTAGTGGTTTTTTATCTATTCTTTTTTATTCCACGCGGTTTTTCATTGTGATTTCATTGTAAAGTGAATATGATCTTTTGGGTGTACTTGTCTGATTGGTTTTCCTGTGGGGTTTGGTTTCTAAAACGGTCTATTTTCTCGACAGAAGTCTTGCAGGCAAGTCCTTTTTATTTTTGATAATTTTTGCTTTATATTTTTGGATTCTCCCTCATACATTTTTTAATATATCTTGCTAATCAATGCATATTATCATATCATTGTTAAGTTTTTACCTGATAAATCTTATCGTATCTGTTCTTGAAATTTAGATATTATATTTTAATTTTTTTATCTAATTGTTGGCTTCCATTTTGTGTGAGTGTCGATTGGTTGTGCCACGTTTATCTGAGGTAAGTCAATTTAGATTTTTGGACTAATTTATAGGTACTGCTGCTCTGGTTTTCGAAATCAATTGTTAGTGTGGGAATATTGGACCATTTGCTCTAAATAGAGTTGGTGAATACCAAATTAGTGTGTCCATCCCTATCAACTCTTTATTGAATCCAGGCAGAGGCCTGAATAGCCATTTTCTGTTTGACTCCGTCAATTATTATCTCGAATAAAGGGTGTAATTTTTTTTAATAGAAATCCAGACAGGTCAAAAATTCAGTTATAAAGTTTTAATTGAAACATCTATACATAATAGCTACCTTAATTTGAAAGGAAAATTTTGTCTATTTGGGGGAGAATCCAAAGATTTAATTTCCTATTATTTCACCCTATTTTGTTCATATTTTTGCTTGCCAGAGCTGCTGTTAGAAAAGCAGCATTTTGCTCAATCATAACGAGCATTTTAATTTTATCTTGTTATTATTTTGATTTTATTATTATCTTACCATTATTCTCACTTATTCAATTGTATTTTTTTTTTGATATTAAAATATATATTTTTTTTTTCAACTTGCAATAGCTGTTCATACCTAATTCTGTTGGAAGGGAGTTTCTGTACAACAATCGTTTTATATTAAATTTCAATTTCAATTTCCTTTCCAAGATACTCACCTTTTGACAGAATTCAGGGATTTAATATTCCAAATATTGGTGAACCGGATACTGCCTTATTCTTTTCTGGGTAACTACTCGACATAAAGATCACTGTTTGGAGTCTGGATCAGCTGGAGTGACGTCACCTCAGCAATCTATCCTTTTTCCTGGATACAGGAAACAACACGAAGAGCTCCAGTTCACGAAAGTGAAACCCCAACACCCATTGAAGAGCTCCGGATTAGAAAGGTACATTGTATCCGATTCAGCGGAAAAACCAAGTTGTCAACTGACATGCTTTAAAGAAAGTGGCATTGTCACTATATTGTTAAACACAGAACTTGTTAAATATCTAATAAAATTATTGTTTGTTGAATTTTGAGTGGTTTCATTTGCACATAAAGAGACTACACGTTATCTTAATTTCTTGAATTCCACGACTCTAGGTTATCTTATCTTAAAGTTCAAATAACTAATGTATTTGTAACAAATTGGCGCCCAACGTGGGGGGCCAATTTGTTACAAGTTATCTTAATCTTTTGAATTTCGCGACTCTAGGTTATCTTATCTTAAAGTTCAAATAATCAAAATAATTTGTAACAACGTACAGACTGATCCCGCCCATATCCTCCAGGACAAACAGGAAACACGACGAAACGGACCACTTTCTGACCTAGCTTTTAACAGGCCACGGGTGTTTCTATGCATACACGCATCCAATAAATAAAACGCCAGACGGCGAGTGTGTATACTGTGGTGAAGCCGATACGGTGCAATACACCTTCACCCATTGCAAGTACTGGCTAGAGCACCGTGAAGCCTGCACGAACAAGATAGAGCCTATTTGGCCGGAAACAATCGTGGACAAAATGATAAGCAGTCCCCAGAATTGGAACGCAGTCAAGACCTTGGCTAGCAAAAAAATGAAGGAAAAAACAAACTATGAAGGCAACTTGACACATGAAACAAAACTTGCCGCCATTTGAAGTAATGCTCTCGCAGTTCCAAATGGTTGGCTAGACTCCAGAGGGAAAAGAGTTCTAGTCGGTCGGTGATCTTCAGAACAGGAGACCATCCCGACACATCCCCTGGCGCCAAAACGACAGTCAGGGATAGTCTGCATAACAGATTTTTTTAAACCCCTCCAAAATAAAAAAAAGTCCCAGGTGCATCCGATGAATCTTCTAAAAGCACAAAGGCTAACAGTGGCCTTTTGGACGATCCTATTGGCGTGATCTTCCAACCAGGAATCAATGATGTCTCAACGGAAATCGAGGCTAAATCGAACACCTCTAGGTTGCATAAAATTATTCCTAATTGCATCCATTTCAAAGCCGATCCTCTTCAAATTCAAAATCGCAACTGTTTTATTCACAGGAACTTCAATTCAAAACTTGTGTAATTCCAAAATAAATGTGTATGCAAAAATCTAGCTCCCATTCCGATCCCAATCTCTGACCACTTCGAACATAAATCAGTATTTCCAAAATGAAAAATTAAGCAATCTCGGATATCCGATTCGAAAAAAATCACGTTCGCCCCAGTCGTAAATCCATAACCCCGAAAAGCCAAAAACAAAAACACTTTGGCAATATAAACGTTTTACATCGGGGGCCGTTAAAATTATGTTGCCGTGTAGAACATAAAATTTTAACAACTTCCGCAGCCCAGCGGAATTTCCGCAGTTGACGACACACTTTTGAATACATTCAACACATTTAAAACCCTTCATGCGCACGAGACTCGGCCATTTTGTTTGTCGTTAAAAGCCCATCGGACGTTCTGGCTGCAGAACAAAATAACGACGCGGTCATGTAGTTTATTCAAATTTTATAATTTCGATATAGGTGTACCTATACCAAAAAAGACATTATCGTTAACGCGTTAATGGGCATTTTAACGACATGTAATAAATAAATACTTGGAGCTAGTTTAATAGCCTGAAAGTTTGAACATTATTGCACTATATGGAAAACATTTTTTGAACAAAAACTATTGCGTTCAAAAAAATTCATCATGGATTTTAGGTCAATGTTACTTTCTTTTATTTTGTGAGTAGCCAAAAGACATCAAAAACGCTTTGACCATCTTTATACCCTTTAACAATGTCTAAAAGCCCCAGTCCCCATTCAACTGAAAAGGTACGTCTGGGGCTGTTGTTGCTTCATCAATTATTCGAAAGGATCCTCAGACCAATTTTAAGAGCAATTTGTGATCAGCGGAGGCGTGTAATAACCCTAATTGCTGATGTATTTGATTTACCTTTCATCTAGCTCCGGTATTCTGAAATTGGCGTTAATATTTCATGGGGACATAATGAGCATATTCCTTAAAAACATGACCTCTTGGTGGATTTTTGTTTTTTACTATAGGTACCTATAACTTTTACCGATATTTGTATTTAGTATAGTCTAAAAAGGTTTGGATTTTCTCCAGTGATATTGTGGACAAATGTTAGACTACCACACACAATAATTGTGCATTGCCAAAGTCACCTACAATCACGTAGAAACAGAACTAAGATTCACTAACAATCCTTAAATAAAATATATCACCTCCGATGCGAGAATACTTGATTACTTTTTCTCAAGTTTTAAAAGCTTAAAGTAACTTGAAACGCGTTTAAAATAACTCTCTTCTATATTTTTTCGAATCGAATTACAGTAAAAGATCCCCAAAGCCCAAGCGTAGGAGAAATTAAAACGTCCAAACGTAATTTATTAAGGTAGAGGCTCTAACGGAATCTTCTACTTAAGGAGACGTAATTCCCTTACCGCATTTACTGCTGTCATATCCTTTGACGGAGGTTCAGATTTCGCTAGACTGTCACCCTGCAAAAAAAAAGGATATAATTCAATGTTACCTTTTGGAACATATATTAATGTCAATTTTTTTTTACAATTCTAATAATTCAACTCGAAAGATAAATCCTATTTTTTTGAGCTTATAGATAAAACATTTGTTAAGAGTTACAAGCGATTTTTGTATGGGACCCATACAAAAGACCGTAAATTAATGGAGCCTGAAATTTGCTATAAGTTAAAAAAAAGGAAACTAGGCTATCGATACTGTTCAGCCAGGCTAAAAGAACCTGTTCACTCCATTTAACAAATCTTCTAAATCTGGGTCGGCTACATTTATTTGTTTTAGGACTTTTTGGCTAATAATACGGCCATAGGAAATAATCAATTTAATCCTGAGAATGTTTGAGAATCTCTTCAAATATCTAACAGCTTGTTTGTCAAACTTTTAGATATATTAAAACAATATTGCTGCGGTTTCATAAGGGAAAGGATTTTTAAAAAAGGGTCTCTTACAAGAAACAATAATTATTGAATAGTTTTATAAGCATTGTCATTAATTCCAACCATGTTTTAAAGATCTTAGTAATCCACAGTTTATTTGTTGGTTGGAAAAAGTAATAAAAAATATTTTGACTTAATTTAATTCTAATTTTCATCAATTTAGTCGGTTCAATCGATTCAATAATTATAAAACTCATGTTCTGCATCAATGCGTAAAATATTTTTCCAAAAAGGGGGCTGAACACATTTCCAATAATAATTGTTTATTCAGGGTATTGTAGAAGTTCGTTTTTAGGTTTACATCTTCTGATACTGTGCAGAACCACAAGTCCGCTGGTACTGATGGTATTCCTGCTCAATTTTTTAAACAAGGAGGCCCCACAATAAGTGCTCTCACCTACATTCTAGTAAGTAAAATGTAGATTACTGAGACCATTTCTACTTTGTCATTATTAAAAAGGAAGACAAGGCTCGATGTGGAAACTACAGAGGCATATCGTTACTTTCTGTTGCGGGAAAGATACAGAAATGGTATATACAGCCATCAGAAAATGCACAATCGACAAAAAAAATTAAAATAGAAGATAATCATACTCGGTTTCGAGTGATCGCCTATGATGATGTTGAACTACTGTAGCTGTTCAAAACTGATGCAAATGAGTACGATATCGAGCCGTAGCTAAAATCCATACACATTATGATTTCAGATAGAATGGGTGAAATGACAAGTGTAAAGGCGATTTTTTCCAGAAGCACTTTTGGAGTTCAAAGCCTCCTGTTCGAAGTAAATCGACTAACTGTTGAAGGGTCGACTCATAACTGGATGTTCACGTCAAGTTGTCATCGACGTATGTACTCGTACGAAGTGCTTCAGCAGCTAACGGGTAAAAGTCACCTTCTTATTCAGCCAATTGAAGTAAAGTTCGAATGGCCAAATGTGGAGAACATGCTAGACCATACACTAATCGTTTGGTTCGATATTCTGACTTGAAGTGGAAAATCTCCATAGAATCCTTTGATAATCTTGATGGTCCAGGATGGAAAACAAGTTGTCGGAACATCTTTGAGATATCAGCAGTTAGAACAAAATTATGAAGTCCAATATTGAGAAGAATAGTAACAATATCATTTTGAATTTTAGGGCCCACACAACATAGAGCTGCGAGTTGAGTAAAGATTGATTACGTAGATGAGCTGGTTTGGTAGTTAAGCTTTCAAGACGCATAACACAATGATGTGGTAGATAGAATGAGTTGAGTACAAAATCGAAAACAGGCTCTATGTAGTCGAAATTTAAATATTTTTGAATAAAGTCGCGGTATTGATCATAGATTTGTGGATGCTTGATTATAAAGAACGCTCGAGAGAATAAAATCGATTTAACGCCAGAGAAAGAATTTCAGGAAATGAAGGATCGCTATCTTTGAAAGGTAGTTTGACGATGAACCGTCCAGACTTAGATACGTAATGTCTGGACGGAGAAACAAGTGACTTTTGGGACATCATCGATCTCCCAAAACCAGGAAATCTGATCATCTAACGAGCTAAAATTTTCAATTTGACAAAACAGAGTTGAAATTTGCGGATTAGGACTTTTCCCATTAAAATATATCCCTAAACAGATTGCATCAAGTGTATCTGGTCCAACAGTTATAGGACCATCGATTAAAAGACTGCCAAAAATATCAGCACCCAATAACACATCAACTACCCCTGGAATGTAAAACTGGTCATCAGCAAGTCGAATATTTACAATATGAAACCAACAATCAGTCGACAGTTGATATGAAGGCAAATTGTCGCAGATTTTATTGACAATATGTCACTATAAAATAGAGAGCAACTCGGTGGTTTATGGAACCGGATACTGGTACTGAGTTCAGCAACCGAACAGAGTACGTGCGTCGTGCAGCGCGTAGTACACACTCCGTGAACGGACCACGGAAAACCTAACCGAAGAATAATTGATTTTGAAATGGAATTAAACTGATTAAAATCGAGGAAAAACATTAGTCGTCACAAGTGAAAATAGAATTTGAATAATAAAGATCAGAAAATTTACAGGATCTGTAACTACTGTAATTTGTTGAATTTTTATAAAGGAAAACTGTAAACAGAGATTAATAAAATCAGGGAAAAATTAGATAACTATAGGACTTTTGAATGAAAAACTGAAAATAAGTGTGAAATCGTTAAAGGCAATTTTAGCACGTCACAACCCCCCCTCTCCTTCAATAGGGGGGGAAAGTTACAAAGAAACTTTTCCGACCATGATCTAAGCAAACTCGAGAACTAAGATAATATAAAGGATATCAAATATAAATGTATTTATAATTTAAACTATGAAGAAGTGTTTAAAGGAGGCCATACACGCGGGGATTATGAAGTATTAATTGAGATAAACTTAAGCTATTGGATGGCAATTGCCTAAGGAGTTTAGGACCGTTACTCGACCACTTTTGGAGTTCAAAACCTTCAAAAAAACTTCGAAGTAAATCGTCTAACTGTTGCTGAAGCTGCAGGGTCGACTCATAACTGGATGTTCCCGTCACGATGTCATGGACGTATGTACTCGTACGAAGTGCTTCAGCAGCTAACGGGTAAAAGTCACCTTCTTCTTCAGCCAATTGAAGTAAAGTTTAAATGGCTAAATATGGAGAACATTCTAGACCATACACTAATCATTTGGTTCGATATTCTTTGACCGGTTCAGAATCTATTCTTTTATTACGCGTGGTTTTTCATTGTGAAGTGAATATGGTCTTTTGAGTGTAGTTTTCTGATTGATCTGGTTAATACGCAATTACGTATAAAAAACACAAGATTGTTTTCCTATAGGGTTTGGTTTCTAAAACGTTCTGTTTCTTTGGCAGTGCTCTAGCAGGCGAGTCATTTTTATTTTTAATAATTTTTCCTTCAAATTTTTAGGTTCTCCCCTATAATTTTTCAATATATTGTCATCAGTGCATATTGCCCCCATATCACTGTTGAGTTTTTACCTGATAAATCTCATCTTATTTATTCTTGAAATATAAATATTATATTTTAATTTTTTTAAATTTAATTGTGGGCCTCCATTTTATGTGATTGGTGGTTCCACGTTTTTGAGGTAAGTCAATTCAGATTTTTGAGCTAATAGATAGGTACTGCTGCTCTGGTTTTAAGAATCAATTTGTTAGTGTGGGATTATTGGATCATTTGCTCTAAATAGAGTCGGTGAAAACCAAATGTGTGTGTCCATCCCTATCAACTTTTTATTGAATCCAGGCAGAGGCCTGTATAGCCATTTTCTGATTATTATCTTCTCGAAGAGAAGAGTGTTGAAAAAGGGTGCAATGTTGTGAAATAGGAATCCAGACAGGACAAAAATTCATTTAAACAGTTTTAATTAAAACATCTCAAGAATTTTGACAGTTCCTGGATTTGATTGATTTCACCCTCAGGTTTATCTTGTAGTACCTATAGTAGCTACGTTGGCTTAAAAGGAAAATGTTGTCTATTTGGGGGAAAATCTAGAGATTTAATTTCTTTTTTTTTTATCTGATTTTGTTCTTATTCTTGCCTGTTATTGCTACTGCCAGAAAAGCAGCACTCTGCTCAACTTGTAACGAGTTTTTTTTCTTTTTTTCTTTAATCTTGCTGTTATTATCTAAATATTTTTATGATTATTTTTCAATTATTTAATTGTATTTTTCTAATTAAAATATTTCTCCAATTTACAATAGTCGCTCATACTTAGCTGATTCTGTAGGAAAGAAGTGTTTGCACAACAATAATTTTATATTAAATTTCAATTTAAATTTTCTTTGCAAGACACTCTCTTTTTGACAGAATTCAGGGATTTAATATTCCAAATCTTAGTGAACCTGATACTGCGTTTTTCTTTTCTGGGTACCTGCTCGACATAAAGATCACTGTTTGGAGTCTGGATCAGCTGGAATGACGTCACCCCAACAATCTATCCTCTTTCCTGGATACAGGAAACAACACGAAGAGCTCCAGTTCACAAAAGTGAAACCCGAACATCCATTGAAGAGCTCCGGATTGGAAAGGTACATTGTATCAGATTCACCGGAACAACCAAGTTGTCAACTGTCAAATTTTAAAGAAAGTAACATTGACTCCACGACAATGGGTTCTCTTATCTTGAAGTTCAAATAACGAGTATTATTTGTACCAAAATGGAATTAAAATATTGATTAAAATCGAGGAAAATCATTAGTCGTCACAAGAACTAGTCACAAGTGAAAATACAATTCAAATAATAAAGATTAGAAAATCCACAGGATCTGCAACTGCTGTAATTTGTTGAATTTTTATAAAGGAAAAATGTGAACAGAGCCTAATAAAATCAAGGGAAAATTAGATAACTATAGGACTTTTGGATGGAAAACTGAAAATAAGTGTGAAATCGTTAAAGGAAATTCTAGCACGTTACAACCCCCCTCTCCTACGATAGGGGGAAAAGTTACAAAGAATTTTCCGAC